TATGTGTTCATTGGTTTCACTTAATCATTTCATGATGTTTGCATACATCAAAACATCACATGGTACCCCATAAATATATACAATTATTTGTCAGGCAAAGATAATACAGTTTTAAGTGCCTGGCCTCACAGAGCTCTCTGTATTTCCACCTCCCCCTCCCCTTTTCTCCCTCTCCTTCCCTATCCCCCTTTTTCCTTCCTCCCTCCCTTCTTCCTTCCCAGGAATATTTGTGAAGCCCCTGCTACATGCCAGATCTTATTCTATGTGCTAGAAATATACCTTTGAACAAAATAATCCATCACACACTCACATTCTCATGAGAGTCTAAAAGAGTAAATTATATAATATCACAGTGAGTAATAGTAGAATCTCAGAGGACGACCAAAGCAGAGGAATGAAGCAGAAGGAAAGACAACTTTGGTTGTCATGGTAGAGACAACACTGCATGCAGAGACCCTGGAGAGGATGTAGATCTGACACATAACAACCGTGGTTCTTAGTGCAGTCGTGGGACCCACTGAGGTTGCCAAAATCCTCTCAGGGCGTCTGCAAAGGTCAAAGTCTTTCTTAACAATGCTGAACCGCCAGACGCCCTTTTTAACCCACATTCTCTCACAAGAATACAGTGGGGCTGTCCTGTAGGACCTGTGACACGGCATCAATATCAGGACAGCTAACAGCATGCGCTTGGACATTGCTTTTTAAAAATTCCTCAGTTTCCATTTTGAATGGCATAGCTCTTGTTAACATATTATTCACAGAAGCAAAGCAGCACTGGGTGGAGGTAGGAGAGGAAAGAATCAGTTTTAGGAATGCAAATTAATTCTGAACCCAGAAAGTTTTAGACAAACAATAATAGAAAAAAAAATTAATCATCCAGGGTACTTAGAGAGTGGGAGAGAAAACGGGAAGCTGGCAAAGGGGCAGAGAAGAAGTGGTTCAGGCAAGAAGGAATGTGTAGATCATCATAAAGGTGCTTTTTCTAAAGGAAATGGGGAGCCCACGCTTGGAATGTAAGTCAAGGGCCTACCATGCTGAGTGTGATGCTGAACACTGAAAACTCAAGCAGAAACTTCCAGCTGAGTCTGCCAGACACTCTAGCACTCTAGGACACTCAAGAAGCAGAGACAGGAAGATCATGAGGTCAGGACTCTGTCAAAGCCAAAGGCTGGGGAAGATACTAGAAAAGATTAGAAAATCTGAATAAGATCCAGCGTTCAAATTTAAAGCCATCTCTTTGGTTCCTATATTGAGAATTAACTCTGGAAGGAGGAAGAATAGAGCAATTAACTCTAGTAGGTGAGGACATGAGGTGAGCTGTGGAGTTATCAACAGCTCATCTTACTGGGAAGACAGGATATACATATATATGGTCATCAGCGAATATTTCTCTTACGAAGGTGATATTTGAGCAGAGACCTGAATAAAAGTGGACAGCAACCTTCATGGATGCCTGCTATCCATGTGGCAGGATCACACAGATGTCAAAGAAGAGGACCTTATCCAAAGTCACCTGGTCAGCTCTTCAGAACAAAGAATTGGGGGTGAAGCTGGAGCATTCTCCATTCTCATGAGCAGCCCACCCACAATTCCTGGAGCCGAGATGGTGAGAAAACTTCCATTGTTGCCCTCTTATCTCTATTGGCAACAGTGTCTGGTTTGCATCCCTTTTATTGAACAGCTGCAAAGGATACCAATCACTGCTCTTCATCCCAGAAGCACAGCCTGTGACTTGGGCCATTCAGAAATTCTTTAGTGATCTCCCACTCTGACTTCGTTCAAGAAAAAGCTCCTCTTATAGGCAAGATTCCAGGAGAAACACCTGTTTTCTGAAGAAAACAAACCTTCCCCCAAAATATTAAAGATGCTCATAAGAACACTAGAAAATAGATTTCAGTTTAAATATGACTCTGTAAAATGGAGCCCAAGCCTCCAAGTGCACTTCCAGGACTTCTCTATTTGACTCAGCGACATAAGAAGAGTCCTTTCACATCAGCACAAGTGCACCAAGCTGTCTGCTTCTAACAGCTTTGCTGGTGTGGAAGAAGAGCATTGCCTTGAGAACTAGAGTTCAAGGCTAAGTGCTTTGTTCTAGCCATAAAACTGCAGAAATGGGGCTCAGTTTGTTCTGTATAAATTTGTACAAAGTTGAATAAGTAAAAATAAAATAACAGTAATAACCAAGAGTAGAAATTCAGTATATGCCATCCCTGTTTTCTTTGGTGGTTTTTTTTTTTTTCTGTAAAGATTGATGATTAGGTGCCATCAGAGTGACCCTCAGGATGCATCTGTTTATGAAATGCTGTATGCCCAAAGTTTGGTCCCTATGGTTCACAAACTGGTTTAGGACCTCCACAGAGCTCATTCTTTTGTCAATACACTAATAGTATCATACTTAATTGTCACTGTGATTATTCCATGGGTGTCCAGACTAAATATCATTTCTAGCTATTTCTGTGATAGTGCTTCTGAGATTGACATGTGTGGTGGTTTGAATGTAATTGGACCCTATAAGCTCATGGGGAGTGGCAGTATTAGGAGGTGTGGCTTTGTTGGAGTAGTTGTGGCCTTGTTGAAGGAAGTGTGTCACTATGGTGGCCAGCTTTGAGGTCTCCTATGGTCAAATTATGCCTACCTAGTTCAACTCACTTCTTGTTGCCTACCAGTCAAGATGTAGGACTCAGCTCCAGCACCATGTCTGTCTGCATGCCACCATTTCACATGATGATAATGGACTAAACCTCTGAAACTGTAAGCCAGTCCAATTAAGTGTTTTCATTTACAAGAGTTGCTGTGGTCATAGTATCTCTTCACAGCAATAAAACCCTAACTAAGACACCATGTGAGCTATGATTCTGTAAAGTAGTTCACTTTCCATGAGAGTCTGCAGGGAGAGAGGGCACAAGAAAGAGGCTCTTGCTCCTGGGCTGCCTGGATGCTGATTTGAACTGAGATACAGCACTTCTGCCCCTGGACTGTTATTTACATCAACTTATTTTGTTTTTATATCTCTGACATCAGGTGGAATTATACCACTGGCTTTACTGGTTTCCAGCCAGTAGATGGAAGATGGTGGGATCTCTCAGCTCCTATAACCCCTGGAGCCAGTTACTCATAATAAATCTCTTTCTGTGTGTTTTATATACTGTTTTATTATGCCTCTCGAGAGAGCCCTGTCAAATGAAAATTCTATGTCCTGTGATCAAGTTCTTAATTTACAAACAAGCTTGCCACTTTACTGTGATGAAAGGAAAGCAATTCTTCTATATATTTCAAGGATCAGTGGTAGACCTCACCTGTGATGGGTAGTGGCAGCTAGATGCAGGAGGTCTCAAGCCACTGCACTCCCTGAGCTGTTTCTTGTTACTCCTAGTTATATGTTCTATTTCAGTTGGTAGTTTTGTGTGTGTGTGTGTGTGTGTGTGTGTGTGTGTGTGTGTGTGTGTGTGTGTGTCTCCTAGAGCTGAGGAGCTGGTTCATTGGATAAAGCACTTATTACATAACTGTGAGTACCTGAATTTAGACTTCCCAGCACCCACTTACACACTTGGTAAATCCATCAATGTCAGGTAGATGTGGGCCCTACCTGTAATTCCAGCACTCAGAAGGTAGAGAGCAGTGGTCCTGGAGCCAGGACCAGCCATATAGGCAAGCTCAAGCTTCATCTGATTTACCCTGCCTCAGTGATTAAGGTGGAGAGGAATTTGGGAAGATGCCTGTTGTCAGCCTTGGGCTTCCACACTCATGCCCACATATATTCATACACACATACATAAGCACACACATGCTAATACACATATAAACATGCATTCATATCACACAGACACAAAAACCAAAAGAAATTTAAATCCTAGATCTGTACCACCACCTGTGAGTAACTATAATTGCAAATCAATCAAAATGGAGTAAATTTAAGCTCTAGCTCTTTTGTCACTGGCCGCACTTCAAATGCTCAGTACCAAGCGTCTGATGCCTGCCTGCCATATCATATGGTACAGAAGTCCTATGGATACTCTTGTTCTGTGTCACCTTGAAGATTGTAACATCAACAGGTGTCACTGAAAGGTTTCAGAACCCCAGTTATGACTTGTGATTACCATTGCATTAGAACCAGACAAGGCCTCCATGACCATGCCTCCGAGGACAAATGAACACCTCACTAATCTGCTGAGTGCCCCTGTAGCAGTGACACTGCTCTGACAGTTGTCACAGCAACACATTGAAGAGCAGCAGCAGAGGTGTGAGCTTCGGCCTTTGAGCCTGACAGCGAAGAGAGCTCCATGGTAACATGAGAAAACATGGAGGCCCCGCTCTAATGGAGCCTCTACCTCCTAAGCTGCCCCAAAACTGTATGAAAGCCTCTGCTTGGTGTGGCTGGTACTCCCTGCATCTGAAATAAGTCCTCTTAGCTGTGGGACAGAGTCTGTCATGTGTGTTCTGCTTGGCTGCTCAGTGACACAGTCAGCCACTTCTTCTTTGAGGCAGTATGCTCTAGGTCACAAGCAGGCTCTATGGCCTCCCCCTAGCCTGGAGAAGCTAGGTCACTTCCTCCTTGTGGACCAGTCAAGTGTTAAATACCATACCACACTCAACAATACTTTTCACACCCAGCCACTTGAAATAAACTATGCACCTTCATTTTTTTCCCACTGAGGAACAGTTCTGCAAGCTGGGGGAGGAGGGAGTGCTTAAACAAGAGATGCCTATTTATAGAATGATGTTAAATATATATATAATGACCCTCTGTGTCTGTGGATTTCACATTCATGGACTGAAAATATTTTTTAAAATGTGTTATACTGAACAAACATTAACAATTTTCCTGTCAGCATTCCCTTGACAATACAGTATAACAACCACTTACATAGTGTTTTTAATGCCATAGGCATTACCAGTAACCTAAAGATGATTTAAAGTCTGCAGAAGGTTGTGTTGGTTCTATACAAACACTACACCATTTCATGGAAGTAACCTGAGCATCCATGGACTTTGGTGTCTGCAGGAAGTCCTGGACCTAATCTCCATGGATACCAAGGGATAGCTATATCCACAAAGGGGAGAAAACAAACTAGTAATTGTAGGCTTGCACATGCAATGGGGCTTGATTGTTCAAAGAGTGTCTGTCAGGCACCTTCTAGGTGCCAAGCAGAGTTGGATCCTGAGGACAGCAATGAACACATTAGGCAACCATGGGGAGGGAACACAGTGGGAAACTTCAGTAGGGGAGGGGGCAGTAAAAGCAAGACAGTCCATAGTATGTCTGCTGTGCTGAGTGCCAAGAGTGGAGTGGTACAGCGGGGGACAGAGCCAGCTGCAAAGGCATGTGTGGGTGATGCTGGAAACAGTGTTGGGGGAGTGGGTACTGGGATAACATTTGAACACTGGCCTGAAGGAGCTGAGGGATCAACCCAAGCCATGGAGAAGCAGAAATTCCTCTCTGTCCTGTATCCTTCCCACATGTCTTCAGAGCATCACCACCCACCAAGGATTTGTTGAACATTACTTTCAGGAAGTCATTCTGAAAAAAAAAAACAAAAAAACAATTACCTGAGTTCTTTTCTTTAGTGTTGAATGCATGCATATTCCAACTATAAAATGATGCTATAATACTAAATATATTCTTCCAGATAAAACAGCTATTGCCCAGAAATGTTCATAGATCCTCTGTCTCCAATTATTTGTCTTATCCAAAGCAATTCTGATGGCAGGTTACAGTCTTTCCAAGACTTTTTTGGGACTTGAGTCTTCTAAAAAGAATGGGTTTCCACATTCTCTCTCATTTATAGAAGGTTTGCCTTGCATACCATTAATGGCTACATGCAAATATTATCTAAAAAGTATACTCTGGGTATTTCAAACATGAAGAAGAATGAACTAGAGACTGATGAGATCTCTGAGTAACAGGAGGAAGCTGGGAGAGCTCTCTCTCTCTCTCTCTCTCTCTCTCTCTCTCTCTCTCTCTCTCTCACACACACACACACACACACACACACACACACACACACAGAGTCAGGTTCACCAGCAGCTCTTAGAATATCAAGAAGCTGAAGGTGTCACATGAGGAACTTGACTGGTCCCCACCAACAGTAGTGAGTCAGGCCACTGGAGGATAACACTGACTAGCTACTTCACAGCCTCACACTTGGGCACACCCACCCCCAACAACAACCACTCAGTGCTTTCAGGAGAACAATGATACTAACTCTATCTCTGTGTACCTTCTAAATTTCACCTTACTTGTTTGTCACTGATGAAACATGATTAGGAAATTTGCCTCAAAGAATTCTGGAAAATGTCATTTCTGAGCTTTAGCTCCTGGGATTCAGGAAAGATAGGGAATCTGTTGTTGATTGTTTTACTTTTTTACTCTTTGGCTCTTTATTCTTTTGGGGGGCCCACCACCCAGCTCCCAAATAATTATACATGAAGTCTTATTCTTACTTATGAATGCACAGTCTTAGCTTGGCTTGTTTCTAGTCAGGTTTCCTTAACTTAAATTATCCTGTCTACCTTTTGCCTCTGGGTTTTTAACCTTTCTCTATTTCTGTATATCTTTTCTTTCCTTCTTATTCCATGTATGGCTGTGTGGCTGTGTGGCTGGCCCTTTCTTTTCTCATTCCTCAGTCTTGCTCCTGATCCCAGATTTCTCCTATTTATTCTCTCTGCCTGCCAGCCCTGCCTGTCCTTTCTCCTGCCTTGCTATTGACTGTTCATCTCTTTATTAGACCAATCAGGTATTTTAGACAGGCAAAGTAACACAGTTTCAGAGTTAAACAAATGCAACATAAAAGGATCCAACACATCTTTACATCATTAAACAAATGTTCCACAACATAACCAGATGTAACACATTTTAAAATAATATTCTACAAAAGGAGTCTTCACCCAGGTGGATGTGCGGTTCTGATACATACAGATTCTGATACATACATACATACATGTTGTGGTTCTGTGGATGCACAGTTCTGATACATACATACATGCTGTGGTTTTCCTGAATGTTGCTTAAGAGTGGAATCTTTTTCCTCTACTCCAGCTTGGGGTAGGTCTATCTAAATGCCCCACATCAGACAACATAGCTATTCCTCCTGTGTAGCCACAGGTCCTTACAAATCATATGCCAGAACAAGACAAGTAGAATTTTACCATTTTGGTCTGCCTTAAGTCTATGGGGGTTGTCACCTGGTGGACTATTAGCCTAGTGCTGTTGTTGTCCCCAAGACAAGGCAGATGACCTGCCTCACAGACAAAGTTCTCCCCAACTTTCCCTCCTTGTTGAAGCTCTACACCATCCCATCCCATTTAGCCTCCCTAACAGAATTTCTAGAGGTTATTATCCTTCCTAATAGACCCGATGAGGTCACCAGAGTCTCAGAGGAATATTAAGACACTTTCAAATTAGTTGCAATGAAATCTGGTTCCTTCTCTTCTCTGTGCAAGTTCCATGTACATAAAGCATTGTCCAATTGCTTTTCTCCCAGGGAAATGTTGACCACAGGTCTTGGGGAGGGTTACTCCTCCCTTTAGAATACCTCCAAGATTTCATATCTATTAATTCCAAAAGGGAAAGAAAGCAAATGAAGTGTCCATGTAATTCTGAAAAGTTTCCCTCCTAGGGTGCCTACTGTGCTGCAGTGCATTTCCAGGAAGTGGGAGTAAAGCAAAGGATGATATACTCATAACTTTATGCATATTGCCCTGTCTTGAATTCTAGGTGATAAAACCATGACAGTCATTCAGGGATGTGTGCATTCACAGAAGGAAAAGTATGGTAAAAAATCTTTTCACAGAGTAAGAGCTGGTTTTATTTGTCCCAAGTAGTGTGATAGCATCTCTACCAGTAGACTGCAGATGAAGTAAACCTAAGCACAGTTATCTCTTTATAAAACTCTGAAATTACAAACACATTTATATTGTATAGGGAATGCTCAAGGCATGCTAACTGAACAAAGCAACAACAACAAAATAAGTGTTCCTGTGTGGAAACTAAATCCTCTCTCTTCTTGAGATAAACAGTAGCATCTAGTAGAAGACCAAAATGTAGCCTATATAGCTCAGAATATCTTGCCTAGCCATTCTGCTCACAGAGACTTTGAAGATGTGGTGGACCCCTGCTACAGCCAGATTGTTTCAGTTTTGTCTGTTCCAAGCCTTCTGTCTTTGGGTACTTCTTGCTCCCCTAATCTACATTTTTCTGCAATACTCCTAGTATGTAGGGATGGGGCAGAGGTGACATGGGTTTATAAAGCAAACTGGCTCCATAATCTAATCCCAGAGAATGGTAAACACTATGTGGTCCATGCAGGGGATGGAGAGTTACCTTCTTACCACTAAGAGGTGCTAGGGTGTAAGGGCCCAGTTTGGACTTGAAAGAATCACAAACCAGAATTGAGTCAGAGGCAAGCTGAGTTGAGTAAAGAGACCAACCATCCACTATAGAAGTACTCAGGGTCCTAATAAGAACTTCAAGAGAATCAGCCAATAAATTATTATTCCTCTTAAGTTTTTTCTCATCAAACCAGAAATCAAGGATTAACCAGCCCCATTTCTTAAAGAAAATTCAAAGATTTGTCATGCATGAAAAAATTCACATAACTTCAAAAACTGACACTTATAATATTGGAAGCCAAAGCCTTACTGAGTTAACAATGCTTGTTCATCAAGTTTCTTAAACGGTGTTAGGTCTGAACTGATTTCACCATCAAAACCTTCTTTTTCCAATGTGGCAGAGTCCCACAGTGAAATGTTAGACACTGGAAAAGTAAATACCATGAGCCATTACTAGCCAGTAACAGCCATCAACGGAAAGTGTAGGGAGAGCTGTGATTCAGAATTAGCTGTAGAGAATTATTTGGCCACAGGATGATGAAGAAGTGGCACTTGGCTCCTATGATCTGAGCTTGAACAAGGCATTTTCCCCATTTGAGAAGTCCCCTCTATTTATATAATGAAAAGTCTGGATGGATTTCTAAGGGTTCTTTCACTAATGGATCTGTTAAATTAACCATAAGTGCTTCTCCCATTTTTTATTATAATATAAGTTGAAGCCAAGTCAAAGAAGGAAATATTTCTTCCATGAGCACAGCACTTTGCCCATCCCCCACCTGTGAGTGTTAGTGTTGTAAAAATGAGCTCTGGTTTCTTCTCCACCCAATGAGTTTGCTAGACTAGCATGTGGAGAGTCTAGAATAATACATGTATCTAGTGACCCTTTAGTAGCTGTTCTTTTAGCTTTTCCAAGAAGATTCCAAACTCAATTAAATTTCCCGAGTCTCCCTGCAAAAGCTGGGGGATGGATGCTTTAATATGGATGTATAAATTTATTAAAAGACAAGGCAAGGTATTTTGAGATAAAATGTCAAAATGTTCTGGGCATAGTGGAACACACCTAGCATCCCAGTACTTGGGAGACAGAAGCAGGAGGATCTGGAGTTCAAGTACATCCTTGAGTTTATGGGGAGTTTGAGGTCAGCCTAGGTTACATCATGATGAGACCATGTGTTAGGAAAATAGCAAAATCCTTTTTATCATTATTTTCATAAAATGTACATTACAAATTAAAGCATGGAAATATGCCTGCATCAAATTCATCTCAAGAGAAAAGTGAGTTGATGAGTGACTGAATCTGAAACCTGGTGCTGTTCTCTGCAAATCAACATGACGAGATCCCAATCTTTATCTAATGTGTGCTCCAACAGTATGTTCACAAGTGGCAATGATAGAAAGACCATGGGGCCCTAAAGGATGTGTTTTTATCAGGGAGAAAAACAATACTATCTTGGTGGGGAAAACTCAGCTTAAGGAGTGTGTGCTGCTTTCTATGAGCAGGGCCAGAGAGAGACACTGTATGTTTGCAGTGGTAGGAAAAAGCTAAGGACTGCTTATTGAAGGGGTAGAGTGACTCTGGGGACTGTTCATGCAGTCTGTCTAAGCATGTCCCTAAGGTCTATGCACAGGGTTCCTGCCTGATGTGTCATCAAGTTGTTGCTATAGTAAACAAATACACATTAGACCAAGACAGGTGCGATGCAAGGTTTCCACACAATAACAAGAGGATGTGTCCCTAGAGAACACAAGAATGACAGACCTGCTTCTAGAGAGTCTCAGAACCATTCAACAGACTCTACAGGGAATGAGGGAGGCCTGTGTTCCTCTGGAAAAGAAGATCCCTTGTATTTTCCATCTCATGATGTATGTGCAAAGAGACACTCTTGTGTTTCCTCAAAATGACAGAAGTGACAATAAGGTAGGCCCATGGAGCTTTGCCCAACAGTGGTTGGAAGATAATTAGAACATGGAACTTTCTACCCTTTCTAGCTCTCTGCCCAAACAGAGGCCAGCTGCCAGGTTTCCAATTCTCCTCTCTTGGGATTCAGAGTGTCTACATATGCCTCTGTGTGCATGGACACCTTTGAGCTGAACACTCATTGATTATCAAAATAATAAAGTGAAATCAGAATATCCCAGACAGAAACTTACAAGCCTTAGGCTTGAGATGAAGGGCAGCAGGAAGGCCTT